TAATGGCATTTTAGATAAATACTAATTAATATATATATATGAATCTGTAAATAAAAGAACGGGAGATTTGTCAAAATTGGGACGTTTTTTTAAGGATTTGCTTTAAGATCAAGCTAACCCTGGAGAATAATGTCTGTACTTAATCGAATTGTTTGAGTCAACGTTAAGGTTGTGGTACTCGACCCCTTGGGATTGTCACTATGGTCGAGCTTCAAAGGGCCAATTGACCCCTCGCAGTCAAGCCTCTTTTAGGTTGTGTCTTTTAAAACGGTTGGACTAATGGGTTTCGGTTGGTTGACTTTTCTCTTCAGCTTGATCGATAACTTCACTCACATGCATATACCATTAAAACCCTTAATTATTATAAGTGTATCAACTCGCATTTTATCTTAGTCAAATTATTCATAATATTTATAAAATAAAATAAAAAAGTAAAAATATTATAAGCAATAAATTTTAACTTTTACCGGGAAGGGTAAAATTGAGTTTTTTTTTTTTTTCACCCGTTTAAAATATAAATACCTACCATATTAAAAAAATATATTTGAACAGTATTAACCACGTGAAGAAAAGTGAAAGAGTCTAATTTACAGTTCACTATTTTAACAAATATAAATATTAAAATAAATATTTTTGTTGGAACATTTATTATTATTATTATTATTATGGTTTACCAGCTGTACTTGCTTTAACGAAACAAATAAAAAATTAGGGAAACGATAAATAAATAAATAAAGAGAGAAGAGAAGGATTGAATAATGGAAAAGTTATAAATGTGAGACAAAATTGGTGCCTAAAAAGAAACGCCAATTAAAAATAAATAATTAATTATTTTAACATTAATAAATAAATAAATAAATATAGGGGTTGGAGTAGGGCGGGGAAAGCATGCATGCCCTTCTGCGGCACCCCTTTATTTAATTTTTTTTTTAAATAATAATAATATAAATAAATAAATAAAAAAGGCGGGAGCGTTGCGAGGGAATATTTAAAAATACCGCATAAATTTTGGGCGCCAATGTTGGAAAATAATAATGATAATAAATAAATACTTTTCCCATTAAATTAAAATTTATTTTATGAAATTTCTAAAAATTTGACCTTGAATAAATAAATAATTACCCTAATTTTCTTTCAACATGGCTATGGAAGGTTAAATTCGTAATTTTACTTCAGGACCAACACGTATTTCTGATCATGTTGTGAGTAGTATCTCGAGTCGACATAACGTAAATATTTAAGAATACTTCGTCATTGACACCCTCTTTATTATGATTATCGATTTGTATAATTTGACAGTACGTGGAAAGAAAAATTCGAGCCTCTTGCTTATGGGCCGCAATGTTCGAGTGTGTAATTTTACACTTAATTAAAATTTTAAAATTTTAAATTAAAGCATATAAATGATTTAATTTTTTTTTAAAGTATGAGATGAAAATGACCGATGGAAATACAATAATTAAAAATAATAGTAATAAAAAAAAAAGAGTAAAAGTTAGCTATAATTACAAAAGATTTATATTGTTTAAAAAATCTTATATATATTTTGTTATTTTATTTATTTATATTTTGTAAGATTTTATTTGGATTTTCTTCACTTTATATACAATCATGTTATGCATATTCCGTCTTAATTTTTTAAGACACCTTTAACAAAGAAAATAAAAATAAAAAAGTGACGTAATTAAATATTTCATATAAATATAAACTAAAATTAAATATTTTCGTATATATTTATTATTATTATTATTTTTTAATTGAGGACGGTTTCAAAATGTTAATTTATTATTTATTATTATTTTAGAGATAAGGATGAACGAAAAAAAACCAGATAACTACAAATTTTAATATTCACAAAACAATATATTATATAGTTTTTATTAAGCATTGGAAAAGGCTTTTTTTTTTTTTTTTTTAATTTAAATGCCATTTTAAAAAGTGATTTAAAATTATTAAAGATTTAATTTACTAATAATCTAAATTTAAATTATAAAAATAAATCAAATTTTTAGATGTCTATTTAATTTGTGGGACCCGATTCAAATACGGTAAGGAATCCCCTTAAAATGAGGAAGGAAGGAGGAGGGTGAGATTTCTCTCGGATTTTGCCACTTCTCGCGCATGGCGTACTCTTTACATATAGTTATAAATATATTTAAGGCACAATAAATAAATATATATATTTTTTAAAATTTAATTACGTTAGAAAATAAAAAATAATTAAAAAATAAAAAAATTGATCGCAAAGAGTCTCGCATTGATCCCGAGAAACTTTACGGTGACGAGATTGACGTAAGAGGCGAGATGGATAGGACTTTTCCCCGCCATATAGTCATTTTTAATCTAGCTCGAGAAAAATGCTATTATATTTTTAATTAATCCGCTACGATAAAAATATAATTTTGAAATTATTTTGAAAAAATTAGATAATAAAATAAATCTCAATAAATATATATATATATATATATATATAAATATATTTTGGGGACACATGTTGATATCAAAATGCATGGGATTTTTTTTTAATTTTTAAATAATAATAAATAATTAATTAAAAAAAAAATCAAACTCGTGAATACAGGTGTTAATTTAATGCTCAACCACCCATCCGACACCCCTGATTTTGTCTGTATTTCCATTTGAGCTTTCTTCCAATCATGTCGCTCCACCTCTCCGACCCCATTTGTGACACGTGTGCGTGTTTTTTTTTTATAAAATAAATAAAGTAATAAAATTATTTAATTTAACGTTTCGTTTTTATCCTTTAAAAAAAAGGAAAAATAAAATGGCATTTCGATTTACATGGCAAGTTATTCTATCTGAAAGTTGCCTTATTAATTAATTCCACAATTTGGTATGTATCCGTTACATTTTCCATAATATATATTTTTCACCTTTTTATTTTTTATTTTATCAATGTATTCATCTTTTTTTTACCTAGTTTGCATCGTAATTTTTTTTCCATTTACTTATCTATTAAAAATAAATAAATTTACTCTTTTATATATATATATATATAACGATTAAAAATGTTACTTTACTTTCATTAGCTTTAGAAAGTAAATTATTAAACAAAATTTACTGAGTTGAGATAGCTAACTTAAATATGAGAGGTTTAAACAGTTTTCTTTTACTTGCTCTGTAACTACCGAACTTTTTAAATTTAAACCGATTGGGATAGCTACTAAATAAAACATGTTTTTTGTCGTTTTTTAAAGCTGAGAAAGACATTGTGAAAGTTAACGAGATAAAGAGTAATGTTTTTCAGTAAAATAAATAAGTTGCTCGGGATAACTCCAACAGCCTTTCTCGTAACTCCTGTAGCTCACTAATTTTGCATACGAAAACTTGTAAGTGGAAGTAGTAAACAAAATACTCGCACTAGTTCCTTCTCATCACTCCTATTATACGCCCTTGATAATTTGTGAATATTATAAGTATTTTTTGTAAGAAACGCTCTTTTAAATGTTAGATATGCGTACACGTGTATTTAGCTTTAATTAGGATCGTCTAGCTCGACCCTAACCGTCACACAGAAACCCTAATCAATAACCCCCTATATGATTAGGAACACAAAATGTGGGCTTGTCTTTGTACGACGACCTGAATCATACGAACTTCAAAATTACGTGTATTTAGCTTGGAACGTTAACATGTTTCGTGACGTCTTGAATCATATTTTTATTTTTTAAATAGAGATTGCGCAATCGAAAAAATAAAATAAATCAACGTGACAATTATGACATATTGTGTGCCAATTATTATTATTATTAAGAGTAAAGTAATATCCGAGAGGCAAAATCTCTTGAATGTGTCTACAATCATACTAATAATCTTTACTTTGCTGACTTAGGTCCACGCTCTGCAGCACAGCTCTACCCTCACCCGCCGGTGATGTAATCCAGTCCTCATTTTTCCTCTTTTCTTCCAACTAAAATAATTTATTATTTTAATTATTTTACACAATATTTAACCCACAAAATTTTAAATAGTTTTAATAAATAAAAAATTGTCAAACATTAATTAATAAATAAAGTAAAATAAATTTGACAAATTTACTAATTTTTTTTAAGTCTGAGTTCAAATAATAATAATAATAATAAAATTTATTGCCAATTTGACATAATTAATATACGGTAACGTCGTGAAGTCAATCTCAATACGACAAAAGGTCGTTAAACGACTTTTAGAAGATCGAAAAATACTATTCATGAAGTTTAACGAGAATAAAAAATATATTTTTAAAAATAAACCGGACTTACTTAAATTAATAAAATTTGAATTTTCAGGGAAGAAAAAAAAACGTTTTTATTAAAATTTAAATAAAAAATATTTGTTTAGAAAAGAAGACAAAATATTTATATATTTTATTTTGAAGGGAATAAAAAATATATTACATGAAAAATTAAAATATTGTAATTAAATGTAAAACAACCATGGTAAAAATGGAGAATTACAGTGGATTTGGATGGCAATTTTGGTAATTAAAAGAGAAGTGAAGGGTAAAAAAGGGAAAAAGAAATTTAATTTGTTGGGAAAAAGACAAAAAGCGGGTCAGCGGCACCAAAAAGGTCGGCCCGGTAACACTACCGTTGCTGCCTTCGCAGCTTTTAATAGAAACAAAATTAATGTATTTTAACAAATTCGTTTACTTTTCTCTCCCTTATTTCACATCACTTTTCTTTTTTACGTAATTTTTTAAAATTCATTTCTTTATTATTTTCCATTATTATTATTATTATTATTATTATTTTACTTTGTTTCTTTTTCTCAAAGTCATCAATATATATAAATATATAATAATAGTTTTTTCCGGACGTCAAAATTTTCATTAACCATATTGTAATTTTATAGGGTTTAGCGTTTGATTATTTTAAAAAAATACAAAAAAAAAAAAAAATCTTGATTTTATAAAAATAATTTTAATTTTTATATTCTCGATTTTCAACTTTATTTATTTATTTATTTTTATATAAAGAAAATTTAATTTGTTATTTACTTCGCTTTCCTTTTGCTTTCCCAAGTGGTTTGTGCTTCAGACAGCTCTGGGCCTGGAACCACTGGCCGGTCGTTACTTTCCGGCGGGTGTTATTTTCTCAGGAAACAAACAGATTTTCTTTTTGTTCTTCTGAAATCTAGCGATTGTTTGTTCTTCACTGGTTTATCGGAAAATTCCGTCAGGAAAAAGAAAAAAAAAAAAATCTCCTGAAAGGAAAACGAAGTCGTTTAGTGCACCACTGTGGAAGGAAGTTATTTCTGTCATAGGTCGTGATCTTTTGCTTTTCCGTTGAAATTTCTCTTAATTCTTCTGTTTTTCTGTTCATTTCATTGATTTTTGTTTGTGATTTCCTTTTTGATTTTGTTTGTAAATTACTATTTGCTCTAAAATGTCGATGTTCATTTTATTTTGAATTTCTGTTGGCTGTTTTCTGGAGCGTTTTATGGTTCAGTGTAAGAGTTCAGATCGTCGAACGGCGGCGGAAAGTTTCGTTCCGGAATCGGTGGCGTTCTTGAACTAACTTGCATGATCCTGTAGAGTGATATTCGTTATTTTAGTGATGTTTTTGTGCGTGTTGAAGAAATTGATTCTTGAAGTTTCTTTGTTCGTGTAGTTCATCGCAGATTGAAGGGTTTTTTCTATGATATTGTTTAATTTTGTTAATTTTTTTTTTATTGACTGATCTTCTTCTTCAAAGCAGGAATGAGCATCTAAATCCTTCACTGAAGAAACAGAAATTAAAAAAGAAATAGCAAAAGATTCGAAGTTCTAAGCGATGGAAGAGAGAGAGGCCATAAGTACAGGAGTAACTGTGATAGGAGCCGAAGCTCCGTCGGCTTATCATGTGGCTCCGAGAACCGATAACCCGCCGCCGGCCGGTGGTTCTCCTACCGTCGCCGCCACGCCGGTCAGCGTTGGGTTGCCTGCTAGTGGAACCACAGGGAAGAAGAAGCGAGGCAGACCTAGGAAATACGGCCCGGATGGAACGATCACCATGGCATTGTCGCCATTGCCGCTTTCGTCCTCAGCTCCAGGGGCCGGCGGGTTTTCCATTACCAAGCGAGGGAAGAGCCGGTTAGGCGGCTCCGATTTGAAGCAAAACAAGAAAATGGGAATGCAGTATATAGGTAATGAGAAACCAAAGCTGTTTTCTATTATAGCTTTAGAATTTCCATTGATTCCTTACAATATTTGTTGAGTTTTTCATCAGAATTTGCAGTTTGCTTCCCTTTGTGTGTAAAGATTGAGTCATTTTCGAGATTCCGTCTCGTTCGAGTCGAAATGCTTCTCTGAATATCATGGAAGATTATGTAATATCTTCCTCTAAAAAAGATTCCCATTTGAATTTTGTCTTACAAAATTCACGTGGGACCTTGCCTGTTAGGATATGTCCTTGTTCAACTCATATAAGATGTGTACGGCTGCTTTTATACTAAGATCTGACCTTTTTGAGGCTCATAGAATATTCTTCTCATGTAGCCTTTTTTGGTCTGTCAGTTCTTCAAATTCCTAACAAATTTGTAATGTTTTTTTTGGTTTTTGTTCTTTACTAATCTGTTTGTTCTTTGTAGATTCTTGATCCATAAATGGGGTTTTGATGGTTTTAGGTTGTAGATCTTAAGTCATGTCGAGCGATCGAGCTTTTCTTGGAGTTATTTTTAGCGTTACTTGGGATATAGATCTTCGTTACGCGAGTGATTTCGGGTAAAAGTAGAAACTCGTTTAGCTGGATTGGACAGTGTTGGAAGTCATCAATTAGCTGGATCAGTTCATCTTATCCAAACTTTGTTCTGCATGGAACATTAATGATGATCGTTTAGAGTATGTAAAACCCGAAAAAGAAACTATCGAGTCCACCTTAAAGTATAGGTCAATTCCAATTTAAAGCAGTTTAAACATCTTCCTTGTTAGTAGATAGTCTTCAATTGAGAATCTTTTGGGTATTTATAGTAGGTCTTGTTCTTGAATCTTGTTTAAATTACTAAAATGTCCTTTTAGCTTCGTGATAACGGTTTATATCGTCGTCGTGTCGTGCATCCAGCTACTTTTGGATTCTAGCATGTGTTAACTGTAGTAATTAAGGATGATTTGGGTGCCACCCTTTGGCTCATCTCTTAGGCTTGAAATCTCTTTCTTCTTAAGAGTTTCAGCTAAGTGCTTTTGATTGGGAGAGAATCTGATTGAAGAAACTAGTTTTAGATCGTTTTCTGGAGTCTATTACGTTAGAACTCGGCTACTAGGATCATTAAGAAGAGAATACGACCGAGAAAACCTGAGTTTCTAGCATGATCACGATCATTTACACTTAGTATGCCTTGTGGTTATGGCTTCTTGATGAACCCGGGATTGAATATCTAAACACAATGAAAGATGAGTTAATTGAAGTACTCGACCACGGTACCTAGTTCGAGATATTTGTTGTTCATTGCAATCATTTAGTAGTAGATGAGCTAAAAAGGCAAGTAATCTAGCGTCACGGTCGGTCGGGTTTTCCATTTTCTTCCTTCCTTTTATAAAGTTTCAGTTACTTTGTTGTCGGAAAGAGTTTTCGCATTCTATTTATGGAAACGAGGGTCGTTTTACTCTTTCTCTAACGACTTGAAACTGTGGAGCATTGTTCGAGTTCTTTGATTTCTTCACCTTTTTTGGGTTTTCAACTGTAGATATTCTGAAATTATATTTGTTCTTGATCAATTATTACAGGCCAATGGAATGCATGTAATGTCGGTACAAACTTCATGCCTCATGTCATCACGGTCAATGCTGGCGAGGTATGCAGTATGCTCGTTGATTGATTATCATTCATCAAAATCATGTCTAACTGTGTAGTCTTTTCAGTTTCTGGTATTTATATTTCCAAGCCGTGAGAGTGGTCGTGGTCGCATCTGTTCTAGCCAAACCTATGTGTGTCGAAATGTTGTTAAATCTTCTCGGACGTGATAACTGAATAACGTACTTTTTCGTGTTTTATTTTGGATGTTTGGCTGTTGAAAAGGATGTCACTATGAAGATCATATCTTTTTCTCAACAAGGTCCTCGAGCAATCTGTGTTCTTTCTGCGAATGGATTAGTTTCAAATGTCACTCTTCGGCAGCCCGATTCTTCGGGCGGTACTTTAACATATGAGGTACGTCAAGTCCATGAGTCTACTGGCATTATTTCTGCTGTGCTTGTCAAATCTTCAAGAAGTTCAATCCATTTTATATACGATGAAAATGCGAGACTGAAAATTCGAGATCTGAGATGGTCTTAAATTGTTGTTTCTGTCGAGACGATTAATAGGGATTGTACATTGGCAGGGTCGTTTCGAGATACTTTCCCTATCTGGATCATTCACTCCTTCTGAAAACCAAGGAGCGAGAAGCAGGTCGGGTGGGTTGAGCGTCTCCTTGGCAAGCCCGGACGGTCGTGTTGTTGGGGGAGGGGTAGCTGGTTTACTGATAGCTGCAAGCCCTATACAGGTACCAAGCTTCCTTCTTACATCATTTGAAAAGGCAAAACTTGTAGCAGCATTTCCATAGAATATGCTTATATTCTGAACCTCTTCCTCTAAACAGGTTGTGGTAGGGAGTTTTGTACCAACCAGCCAACCCGATCCGAAAGTAAAGAAACCGAAGCCCGAGTTGTTGTTAACTGCAGCCCCTGTTGCTGCAGCGCCAAGCACGACACCAGCCACCACCGTGCCTACTTCCTCCAATGCTGATACAGACGACGGGTTAAACGGTAACGGTCAGCAAACTCCTGAATCCCAAAAACCGACTACTTTCCCTCCTGCTAGTTTCGTGAGAGAGCGAGACGATTGGGGTGCTGCCAATACTGCTGTGCATTCCTTGCAGGAGCCGAGAAATACCGGTACCGACATCAATATATCGCTGCCGGACTAATCTATTTAGTTTCTTACCAAACAATGACCACAGTGATCTGATCTGATATGATCTGATCTGATCTAAGCTTTGTTGTTTTTACCAAAATTACCATTTGAGATTTGATAATCACCACAGTCAAAATTAGGGAAAGTTTTTACTATTAACTTTCCATTGTAAGTTTCACACATTTTTCTTAATCATGATCAATTAGGGACTTGTCTGATTTAGTTCTGTTTTTACTGCTCTCTACCTGTTATTAGGATGTTGGATGTAATGAACGAAGAACCTCTGCTTTTTTTTATTTAAAAAAAAAAATTATTTATTTGCCTATTTTTGACAATTTTCTCTTTTATGGAAATATTTGTTTTATTATTATTATTTTTAAAATTATTCTGTCTGAAGTGGATGCTGCAGATTTTGTTTTGAAGTGCCAGGTTGTTTCTGTTTCTTTCTTATTTTTGGATAGCCTCTCGCTCACCCCATTGTTTTTCATGTGATAAATGCCACCAATAGCCAATGAATGGGCTTCCACGTGACTCGGGTTTGTTACAGGTCGAGTTGGGTTAGATTAAGACGTTCTTGGGTTTATTACAGGTTGAATTGGGTTAGATTAAGACGTTTCTTGGGTTGGTTACAGGTCGAGTTGGGTTAGATTAAGGTGTTTTTTTTATAGATCGAGTCAATTTTTTTTAAACTTAACTCACTATAAAATGTTGAGTTAGGTTAGTTCGTGTTATAAATAAAATATTAATATATAAAATATTTAATAATTTATTTTTAAATTACAGTGCAAAAACTTAAAATATCATTAGAGAATAAATAATTTAAAAAATAAATATAGAGTTAAATAAAATTTTAATATTGGTAAGCAAAAAAAGAAAAAAAAGAAAAAAAAGAAAAAAAAAATATTTTAAATTTTGGTTGGTGGATAATTTTAGCCTTTTTAATTCTCTTGAAAATAAAAATATTGAATAATATTTTGAGTTGTTACGCATTTAAAGTTATACAATAATTAATATAATTTTATTATTCTTGAATTCGAGCCAAAATATTTATGTCTTTACACAAATTTATGGATTTATTTTATTTTATTTATATACAAAATGCAGAATCCAAGCCCAAATAAACATGGGCTTTATTATGCGATATGTGAGCTACCCAAATTCATTGGCACGGCCCATCCGTACAAGTGTGTTGGGCCTATCAAAACGCTGTCGTTTTAGTGCTTCAATTCCATTCCATTTTTCTTGAGGGAAAAGACACCGTGGGATCTAAAGAAAAGAAGCGAGCAAGTTTTTGCTTTGGCTTTGTTGGGTTCCTCTTCTCTCAGACGCCTTCGCTTTTCTCTGACCTCTTCGCCATGACGAAGCAGCAAGCCAACTGGTCTCCCTACGACAACAATGGCGGGTACTTTCTCTTTCCTTTTCATTCTCTATGCACTGTTTAGATGTTTATTTTATCTGTTTCGGTGATGAATCAGTGCCGAACTTTGTGCAGATCGTGTGTTGCGATTGCCGGCGCCGATTACTGTGTAATCGCCGCTGATACTCGGTTGTCTACGGGTTACAATATCCTCACTCGTGATTACTCCAAAATTTGTAAGCTGTACGTCAATCTCTTGTCGAATTTAAGTTTCTTTCCGAATTTGAATTCTTAAGGTTACTGGAGTTTCACATTGGTTTTATGTTTTGTTTTTTTTTTCTCATGTGTGTTAGAAATGGATTATTTCCCCTCTTATAGTGTTTCTTTCCTTCCTGGAAATTTTATTGGGCTTCGGGTTTTATGGCTATTGCTTGGGGATAGACTTCTGGATTCTAGAGTTAACTCAGGGTCATAGTTTGGTGGACTTTGAACGAAATGAGCGGTTACTTTTGTTGTTTTGAAGATTGTGCTTTGGTGTGTGATAATATGTGGATTAGCTTGTGAATGAAATTGGTGCCAACTTACATGGAGTTGGCAGCTGTTGAACTTAAAAATTTGGTCATTTCGTGCTTTTGTTTGGGAGGTTTCGGTTTTGCCTCGGAAGAGTTATGGATCCATTGGCGGTGTCGAGGAAAGGTTATGAAAGTAATGGAGATGCATTCTTTTGGGAGGGATGGATCTGTTGGATGCCGAGTTTATTACATGTGATTTTGTGTTTATTTGAAAAATGATTTAGGAGGCAAATTATCACGTAAATCCTACCTTTAGTTCAAGGAACAAAATGGTTTATGATACTTCTAATTGGTCAGAGATATTACTAAATTTAGAATGTTATTCAAGTGGCCGATATAAGTGTCTAATGTTATGTATTCTTTTGTTATATTACGCCATAGTCATTTGATTTCCTCAATTTGGTCACGATAGATTTCCTCATATTTTGTTATTGAACTTCACTAATATAAATCCTGATCACTAATTCCACTACAAGAGTTTCATGTTATGCATTTTTGATTTCATTGTTGTGATGTTACTAGTATACATCACATACGTAAAAGCTCATGCATCCACGCACGTGCTTATTTATAATTCTTGGTGTTGCAGGGCCGACAAAGCTGTGATGGCTTCCTCTGGTTTTCAAGCTGATGTGAAAGCCTTACAAAAGGTTTTGTCTGCTAGGCATTTGGTGAGACTTTTATCTAAATGGACATGTCTTCCATGGTTGATCTTTGTAATGCATATTGGCCATATGCTATGTTATAAGATTTATTTCCAAGCCATTGAGTTTTTGATGCACCTAATTGTTCTTATTTTCTTTGAGTTTGATTGTGTGTGGGTTACTCATTTCCTTCTTGTGATTTTGATATCTGTTTTTGTAGCTTTGCTTGTATTAGGCTTGGATTATTGTGTATGTATCATGTACTTCACTTCATATTGCTGCTGCTGCATCCCTTAAAATTGGGATAGCATGGCTTTAATGATTTCCGACACCCGTGCTTCCCCAATGGCACTTTGTTCCTCTCCTTTTATATGTAGTTTTCAACGAAAATATGGTGTTTTGATCTTATAATGATTTTAGAGTGAAGAGACTCGAACTTCTCTTTTTGTGTTTTTCTATTCGGTAATGTTTTTTCTTTAACTTATTTCGTGTTCATTTTAGTATTTTTGCCATTTTCCGTGTTGGGTTTCTGATCCTAGTCTTTCATTGCGCAAACTAGTGTTGTTCATAATGGAACCCCATTTTTCTTTTAAAAAATATGTACAAGGCTTGCTTCGAAAATGGAATTGAACTTTGTGGTGTAAAATCTACTTCGACTCTCAATTACACTAATTTGGGAGAAGCCAATGGTTAAAGCATCCTGACAATTCAGTTTTTAAATTTATAATGTATTTTATGGACATAAGATCCGGGTCGGAGGATTGATATGTAATTCTTTATTTTGATGCCTTATATGTTACTTGCTTGACTTTCAGACCTACCAACATCAGCACAACAAGCAAATGAGCTGCCCGGCAATGGCTCAACTGCTCTCAAATACATTGTACTTCAAACGTTTCTTTCCTTATTATGCTTTTAATGTCTTGGGCGGACTTGATAATGAAGGTATATGACTTCCCTGCTTGTGGTTCCAGTTTTATACCTCACTTTCCCATTAACTATAAGTTATTCTCTTCTTGAAACAGGAAAGGGTTGTGTGTTCACCTATGATGCTGTTGGTTCTTATGAGAGAGTTGGATACAGTGCTCAGGGTTCGGGTTCCACCCTCATTACACCCTTTTTAGATAACCAACTGAAGTCTCCCAGCCCTCTATTATTGCCTGCGCAGGTATGATCTTACCCTTCCTTCGTAGGAATGTGCATGGAAATTACATATTGGTTCACAAAAAATAAAAGTTCGTGTCGAAGATGGTTCCCCCCTTTCGAAAACTGAGCTGACTGCTTGGCAAAAATAGACGAACTAATTGATTCCAAACTGGATCAAATAGTTTCTTTTTTTTCTTTTTGTTTTATACCTTTGAAATGGATAAGAATAGTGACAAAAAATCGCTGGGAGTAAGAAACCTGGAAATTCTCCGTTATAGGCATTAAAGAGGGGAAAAACATATCAAACTTAGACATTCAAGTGTTCTGATCTCTCCGAAAATATGTTTGTCCCGCAATCCGTGTAGCACTCCTTTATACTTATGATACAAAGCCTAACCGAAAGGGAGCCCATTTGTAATAGCCAAAGCTCACCGCTAGCAGATATTGTTCTCTTTGAATTTCTCCTCAAGGTTTTTAAAATGCCTCTACTAGGGAGAGGTTTCCTCACCCTTATAAAGAATGCTTGGTTCTCCTTCTCAACAATGTGGGACCTCACAATCCACCCCCTTCGGGGCCCAGTGTCCTCGCTAACACTCGTTCCCTTCTCCAATCAATGTGGGATCCCCCAATTCACCCCCTTCGAGGCTCTGCCTCCTCGCTGGCACATTGCCCGGTGTCTGGCTCTGATCCAACTGTAATAGTCCTAGCCCACGGCTAGCAAATATTGTTCTTTTTGGGTTTCCCCGTAAGGTTTGTAAAACGCGTCTGCTAGGGAGAGGTTTCCACACCCTTATAAAGAATGCTTGGTTCTCCTTCCCAACGACGTGGGATCTCACAATCCACCCTCCTTCGGGGCCCAGTGTCCTCGCTAACACTCGTTCCTTTCTCCAATCAATGTGGGATCCCCCAATTCACCCCCTTCAAGGCTCAGTCTCCTCGCTGGCACATTGCCCGGTGTCTGGCTCTGATACCAACTGTAATGGTCCAAGCCCACCGCTAGCAAATATTGTTCTTTTTGGACTTCTCCTTCCGAGCTTCACCTCAAGGTTTTTAAAACGCGTATGGTAGGGAGAGGTTTCCACACCCTTATAAAGAATGCTTGGTTCTCCTCCCCAACTGACGTGGGATCTCGCACCATTGATCCCCAAGCAAATAACACCAATTTTTTCTCTCTATCCTCTAACTTATATGCTCCCCCTCGTGTCCCTCTTTTGCATACGAGAGGTTTACTTTGCCTATCTGGTATAGTTCAAAGTTCCAACCAACTGATCCAGCTCTTTCCAGTTGATTTTGTTATTTTTTTGATTTTGGCTTGCCCTCCTATTTTCTCCCCCTTGGAATCTCTCTCTCAGCTAACAAATTGCGATGAACAGGATTCTGCAACGCCTCTTTCAGAAGCCGAAGCTATTGACCTGGTGAAAACTGTTTTTGCATCTGCTACTGAGAGAGATATCTACACTGTAATTCTCTTCCACTATTCATATACACCTTATTCTGAGCAAGTATCTTTACAGATTCCAACTCTCAATTTTTTTATGTTCATAGGGTGACAAACTCGAAATCGTCATTCTTAATGCCGACGGTATTCGACGTGAATACTTGGACCTCCGAAAAGATTAGCAGCACGGTGCTCGACTTGATAGATTGAATGTTGCTGCAACCGTAGGAACCGCCCATCAGTACCCGTCCCTGAGATTATTGCATTGCGATATTTACGGATGGTTAAGTTTTAGTTTTCTCTCTGTGATGTGACCTCGTTTCCAAATTAAAATCCCTGTTGTGAACTAAAATCTGGAGGGCTGCTGGCTGATATTGATCGATCGATCTCCTTTTTTTTTTTTTTTAGCTACCGTTGACTTTAAGGAGTTGTTTTAGTGGTGAGTTCATGAGAAGCTGGATTTGAATCTTAGGTTTAATTAATTGAAGCTAGGTGGCATATGGTCTTCAAAAAGTTAAAATATCATATTCTTGGTTAAAATATTCGAGATTTAAATTCTCGTTCTACACTATCTGTTTATTTAGTTCTATACCCCCGAGAGTTGTGATGGTGTGGGAAAAATGGAGCCTAAAGAACCTCGTTTGGGACCGGAAGGGTCCCTCATGTTTCATATTGGCTGGAAATTTGTTCAAAAATGTTATCGCATCTCCTTTTTAGGCGGGAGTTCAAAGATGTTTATGCTTGCATTCCATGCCGTGTTTCCCTGTTTGAGACCATTTTCTATTAGCTCGGTCATGAACCACACTGGTTGGATCCTAAAAGAAATAGCATTTCGTCAACGTCGAAATTGAGTTGCATACTGGGTCAAACTTTCTTTCACCTATTTATTCAAACATGGTAAACTCGATTATTGTGTCTTGGAGCTTGTTTCTTGAGTTTATTAACATGTGTAACTAACTCGGTTGGCTCGAGATTCTTTTTCTTGATTTGAATTTGAATGGGAATAATTTTATATACGATATGCTCTTTTTTTTTTTTTTTTTGGGTGATGTATGGAAAAAAAAAAAAAGCTATATGAAGTAATTTATACTTGCCAGATAAAAGAATATTTATTTATTACACATAATTAGGATAAGCTAATAAAAATGAAATACGAAATTCTTGCGTACTTTAACAATTGGAGCGAAAGAGGTTAAAAAGGAAGTGGAGGAGGGGGAACCGAACAATCGAATCGTTTAAATTAGTCTTCGCCTGTTCTCCATTTCAAAGCTTCCGCCCCAAGCTTCTCTGCCACTGCACTCCTCTCTTCAATGGCTCGCAACAGGGTAAACTCTTTACTGTCTTTACTTTCTTCTGCTTTTGCTTCGATCTCTTCAGATTACGTCTTCTTCATGCGTGGCTAAGCTGAGTTAGTTTTTAATGCGCTCGGTCTCAGTTATTCAGTCCTTCTTTGCAACAAGTTCAGTTCAATTTCGCTAACACTTGAGTTAGTACGCTTGTGTTTACGGCTAGGGTTTAGGTTTTGTTGTCTAAGAAGCTAATTAGGATTGAGGATGTTGGCTCGAGTTTCTTAAAGGTAATCGAGTGCTACAAAATCTGAATGAATGAGGATTATTGATCTCCTTTAGCCTGTGAATTCAATTCATAGGAAAAATTGTAACCAGTACCAATATTTTAGCTTCGACAGAGGCATGTTTCTTAGCATATTTGTTCTAAGAAATATTTGTAAAAATTAACAATCGGGATATTGGCCACACTTCTTGCTTGTGTTCTTCAGCCATGCGTCGCTAATACTCGGCATCGGCCTTTCGAGAAATAACAAGGTTTTAAGTTTTCAATGTGAGACATGATCTGTTGGAGGTAATAGGTTCAAGCCATGAGAAAAATTATCGAGAGAGGCTGCCACAATGTGTCTGCATCTTAAGAACGGTCGGATGTAGATCCATAAATATATCAGCCCTTTATATATATTCAATTTCTTCCACACATCTAATGGTGCAAAACAACTAATCACATTATGTGGCCTCCGAGGGGAACGAGTGCCAACAAAGACGTTGGGCGAATGAGGGGGGTGGACACTGAATGAGTGCCAGCTAGGGCGCTGGGTCCCGAAGGGTGGTGTATTGTGAGATCCCATATCGATTGGAGAGAGGAACAAGTGCCAGCGAGGACGCTAGGCTTTGAATGAGGGTGGATTGTGAGGTCTCACATCCGTTGGGGAGGAGAACGAAACATTCTTTATAAGGGTGTTGAAACCTCTCCCTAACAGACACGTTTTAAAAACTTTGAGGGAAAATTCGAAAGGGAAAGCCCAAAGAGGACAATATCTGCTAGCGGTAGGCTTAGGTTATTACGTTGTATGACTATAAGGCTCACCAAACTCTTTGTTCGAAATCTGAGGATTTCTTCACGACTCACTTACCACAATTAGATTTAGACCATGACTCTAATACCAATTGTCAAGGACAACAAAACCTCCTTCTATCTCCACCTTAATATGACGTTGTGCACTTTGAGCATTAACCTTCATTAACCTTTATGACTTTGCTTTTAATTTTTTAAAAAGGTCCCGTACCAATGGATATTATTGCTCTCACTTATATACCCACAGTCACTTTCTTCTGTAGCTAATGTGGCACTTTGTTTGCATTTCTAACATTAATATCCTAACTTTGAAAACTAAATGTAGTAAGGTTGGTGGTTGTCCTACGAGGGCATCCTTGGGGGTGCCTATGAGCTATAACTTAAAGAACACTTTTAAAGCTACAATTGTTCTTCTATCTTAGCAAGTACCAAGCTATTATATCATATTTTTATCCTATATGCATATTTCTGACATTCAAGGATTTATGTTAAATGGAATAGGAAATCTTGGTGCTTGTGCTGGATGTTGGTCCATCAATGCACTCTATTCTCCCTGAGGTTGAAAAAGTGTGTTCAATGCTGGTGGAGAAGAAGGTATTACCGTCGTCAAGGTCCCATTTGATAACGATTTTGTTTTTGAAAATTATGCTTGCTTCCTACTATTTCTTTACTGTCGATTTCACAATTCTTAAAGAAACACTTGAATTCTAATCAAATTTAAAAGAAAAAAACAAGTTTTTAAAATTTGGCTAAGATTTTTTAAACAATTTAAAAAACTAGATAACTAAACAAAAGTAGTATTTTTAAGTTTAATTTTCAAAAACCAAATGGTTATCGAGCAAGACCTAGCGTATTTAAAGTTTTCCTTCAATTGAAGTCTATTGAGTGTATTGTCTACCCGATAATTTTTTATGTATCAGAAGTTACTTAATTTTTATCCTCTTGTGATGCAGCTGATTTACAGCAAATATGATGAAGTGGGAATTGTTCTATTTGGAACCAAAGGTTTCTCCTTTTTCTTTTTCTTATTTTATTTTCACAATAAAAAATTTTACGATGTTTTTCCGTCTTCGTATGCTATGTTTCATAGTTTTTGTATTCTCGTAGAATTCATCGGCAGACATGGTTGAAATTTTCTGTATCTAGTTCGTGTACGGATTACTTAACTATGCAATGAAATTTGTAGAAACGAAAAACGAGCTAACAGAGGAAGTTGGTGGGTATCAGCATGTGGTGGTTCTACAGAACATGAAGGTTGTTGATGGAGATCTCGTTGATGTTTTAAAACGACTCCCTCGAGGGACCGTTTCCGGTGATTGTATCCAAGATTTTGCAAGTTCTTTGTTCTTTTGTTTCATAGCTGCATCATTTTATAATAGATTATTGGAGGTTTCGTAAATTAAGTATCCAAATTTTTCATACCTTTGGTTCCTTTACATGGTCGGTAGTTCTTGATGCCATAATTGTGGGAATGGATATGTTGATTAAGAAATTTGGAGAGACAGAAAAAGGAAAGAAACGCTTATGCCTTATTACTGATGCTCTATTCCCTATAAAAGAACCTTATGAAGGGACTAAAGAGGACCAAGTTTCGGCCATTGCGCAGCAGATGACAAAACACGGCATGAGAATGGATAGTGTCGTTGTGAGAAGGAGGTTCGGTCGGGATGCAGATGAGAAAATGATGGACGAGAACGACGTTCTCTTGAACATATTTTCAGAGAAAACGAATGCAAAAATGGTGTATGTGGAGAGCCCAACTTCGTTATTAGGTGCAATCCGGACTCGGAGTATATCGCCCGTGACAATTTATAGAGGCGATCTTGAAATAAGCTCTGTCATCAAGATTAAGGTAAAGTATTTAGTCTCTTACATAGCTTATTCCAAGCATTTTCAGTGACGTTCTTGAAAAATATCTGGCATATCGAGCGTTGGATCTTTTCGGTAGAAATCGAGGGTATCTTTTATCTTTTTTACACATGATTGATAGTCATCATTGATCAAAGTTCATGCTCTAATTCAATCAGGTATGGGTTTATAAGAAAACATCAGAAGAGAAGTTTCCAACTCTGAAAAGATATTCTGATAAGGCACCTTCAACTGATAAATTTGCCACACATGAAGTCAAGGTAGATTACGAGTACAAAAGCGCCGAAGACACTAGTAAGGTCGTGCCTCCAGAACATAGGATTAAAGGATATCGTTACGGACCTCAAGTGATTCCGATATCAACTGCTGAATGGGATGCAGTCAAGTTCAAACCAGAAAAGAGCGTGAAGCTTCTCGGATTTACGAATGCATCGAATATAATGCGGTAGATTCTAGCTGTTTTGAAAATTTTATACTCATAACTTGTGTTGTGAAATCTCCTGGTTTGCTTACATTTTTGTTTGAAGGCACTACTACATGAAAGACGTCAATGTCTTTATTGCTGAACCTGGCAATAAAAGAGCCATTGTTGCAGTTTCTGCACTAGCAAGAGCAATGAAGGAAATGGACAAAGTGGCGATAGTGCGATGCGTTTGGAGACAAGGACAGGGGAGCGTCGTCGTCGGTGTCTTGACACCCAACATATCGGAGAAGAATGGTATTGTATGTCTAAATACATTTTTCTGCGTACTTTGTTTTGTTATATATCGGAGAAGAATGGTATCGATGATCGTTTTTGATAGGCCGATTCATTATACTTCAATGTACTTCCCTTTGCGGAGGATGTTCGAGAATTCCAGTTTCCTTCTTTCAACAATTTTCCAGCATTGATGCAGCCGAGCGAAGAACAGCAAGAGGCAGCGGACGAATTCGTTAAGATGCTTGATCTTGCACCATCTGGACGGGAGGAAATTCTGCAACCGGATTTCACACCAAATCCTGTTCTTGAGGTATACCTTTATGTTTTTTTTGTTTTTTCGAATCATTCAGACACACAATTCACCGTGCATTTCTATTGAGAATTTCACATTGGTTGGCGAGGAGAACGAAACACTTTTTATAAGGGTGTGAAAACTTTTCCCTAACAGACGCATTTTAAAAACCTTGAGGGGAAACCCCAAAGGGAAAGTCCAAAGAGAACAATATCTGCTAGCGGTGGGCTTGGGCCATTACAATTTCCTCCTATTTGATGTTTCTAATAGACAGTGTATTGTGTTTGCAGCGCTTCTATCGTCATCTCGAGTTGAAATCGAAGGATCCAGCTGCGGCTGTACCTCCACTCGATGCAACTCTCCAGAAGATTACCGAGCCAGATCCCGACTTGTTGTCTCAAAACAAATCTGGTATTGGCACATTCGACAGAAGATTCGAACTCAAGGAGAATCCAAAGGTAGTTCATCATCGACTTTGTATTCAATAACTGATACATTCATGTTATCGAAATTTTGAACGTGATCCAAAATGCAGCTAAAGAAACCAAGAAGGCTATATTTACGCGAAAAACCATCCGGTTCGAGCGACAAAGAGGATAATGAAGAAATTTCTGCTCAAATTGTCGTCTCCGCTGCCAATACGCGGTTAGTCAAGGTAGAAAAAATCGGAGATTCAACACCTCTCCAAGATTTTGAAGCTATGATGTCTAGAAGAGATAGTCCAGAGTGGATCAATAAAGCAATCAATGAAATGAAAAACAAAATTTTCGACCTTGTCGAGAACTCCTGCGACGGTGATAACTATCCAAAAGCTCTCGAGTATCTACTAGCGCTACGCAAGGGTTGCATCATTGAACAAGTATATTACTCTCTATCTGTCTCTTCTTTTTCACGCTCGAGAATAAAACAACTCATGTTTTATACAGGAACCGACGCAATTCAACGATTTCCTCCGCCATCTCTGTAAATTTTGCCTGGAAAAGAACCTCCATAGCTTCTGTGAGCTCCTTGCATTCGAACGACTTAGCTTGATCTCCAAGAAAGAAGCGGCCGACAGGTTTAACATTCGTTTTTCTTGTTCAAACCGCCATGAAACTCTTCTTTACACTGTTCTTCCTCTGCAAACGTTCTGAGTTTGTTTATCATATATTGAACAGTGAAGTAGCTGATGATGAAGCTAGAAGCTTTTTGGTTAAAATGGAGCCTAAATTTGAGCCTAAAATGGATCCCAAATTAGAGCAAATCTAGTGATGAAGGTACTTACCGTTCATTACATGTATAGATGTAATTTTATGTGTTCATCCAATGTTCACTTACTAATCTTCTCTGAATTGAATTATACAGCTTCCTTAATTTTCCTTTTTTATCTTTAATTTTTCCTTTATTATTGTTGAAATTTTATTTTACATTTAATGGGAAATTTTAATTAGCCCATTTCTTTAATTTATCTCCAAATTCATTAATTTTAGTATGTAAATTCATGTAGGTTTATATACAATTTTCTTTTTAATTTATTGTTTACATTTGTGTTTTCCTTCAATAGGTAGCTTATATAAACACAGTAAAATAGTAAAAAAAAAAAAACATTAATAAATATAGAAAATCATTGTTAATACAGTTTCAAAAAATTTATTTATTGTGGTAAATTTTGTGAATGTATTCGTAATCACGATCGAGGTAAAAAAGATTGGTTAAAGAGTAAAAATTGCATCTTTTATCCCGATTGAGGTAAATGTTGGATGAAAAGTAGTATTGAATTTTCATATTATTAAGACGTTCATTATTTTTGCATAAAATTATTGAAAAAAATACAGGATATATATAATATATATATATGAAAAATAAATTAAATTTTTTGTTAAATTACAAATTCTAAATTTAATTGTATGCAAATATTCTCTATATTGACTAATTTAGGAATGATGAAGAAGATTGTTGGGGGTGAGTTCACAGAGGAAGGAGGAAGGAATGATGATGAGGATTGTTGGGAGTGAGTTCACAGTTCACATCGGCTAATTTAGGGAATGATGATGAGGATTGTTGGAAGTAAGTTCACAGAAGATTGTTGGGAGTGAGTTCACCGTTCACATTGGCTCATTTAGGGAATGATCATGAGAATGGTTGGAAGTGAGTTCACAAAGGATTGTTGAGAGTGAGTCTCACATTGGCTAATTTAGGGAATGATCATGAAAATTGATAGGGAGTGAGTTCACATAGTATTGTTCGGAGTGAGTTCACATAGAATTGTTGGGAGTGAGTCTCACATTGACTAATTTAAGGAATGATTATGAGTTTATAAGTAAAGAAATACATTGGCAGAGGCCTTCTAGGAAAGCCCGAAGCAAAACAATATTTAAATATTTGATTTTTTTATTTTGAAAATAACTTTTTTTTCATCACCATTTTTTCTCTGCCTTTAATTTTCTTTACATATTTAATTTCTAATAAAAATTTAAAACAAGAATAAGTTTTAATTAAGAAGTATTTATTTTTTAGTTTAAAAAATTAAAGTTCGTTTTTAATAGTATAAAAATAAATAACAAAACTGAAAAAGAAAAGCTATAGATGGAAATTAGCTCGCCTTCTATTCAGCTTCCGTAAATAAATATAAATACCGTCTACGCCAAATTCAGCGCCCCCGTCTTTATTTATTAACTGCTTTAGTTCAAGGAGTGTCTCCGGCTGTTTCTTCTCCTCGTCGAAGATCATGGACTTCGAAGCTCAGGCTCAGGTACTTGTCTCTCTCCCTCTCTCGAGCGGGCGCGCTTTCTTGATATCGTTTGATCTGAAGATAAGATAGTTACAGAGACGGATTCACTTGTTTTACTCGAGATCTTTAAGAAATGTTGTATAATGATGGTTATACTTTTGGTTTTTTTTTTTTTTTTATATTGCTGAAGAGCTCGGACGGTTCGTCGACGTCTTCAAAGCTGGTTCTTTACTCTTTCTGGCAGAGCTCCTGCTCGTGGCGTGTTCGCTTTGCGTTGAATCTCAAAGGTCTTTCTTCTTCTTCTTCTTCTTCTTCTTTGAGTTTACTGGAAAATTCATCTGTGATTTTCAAGAACAGATTCTGATTTGTTTTGCAATGCACGGTTATCTTGTTTAAATTGAGTACTAAGCGGATATGAAGATTGTAATGGTAAATCAAATGAATCAAGAATTTGAGTTTGAAGAAGATCTGTCGTAATACGCACAGTGATGTTGTTTAAATTGATTCTTAGCTGAAATGTAGATTGTGATAGTAAAAATCAAATGAATGAAAGTTGTTGAACTTGATACTTCTATTAACTGAAGTGACTTTGCGGCTGTTGCTTAGGGCTTTCTTACGAGTACAGAGCAGTGAACCTTGGGAGAGGAGAGCAATTAAGTCCAGGTAGATCTCGACTTTGATGTGTTAGTGCGAATCGATAGAATCAAAACTGCTTAACGATTCTTTTTTTTCCTTCCGAGATGCAGATTTTGAGCGCCTAAATCCTCTCAAGTATGTTCCTGTATTAGTAGATGGTGCTGTGGTAGTTTCAGACTCTTTCGCGATTTTACTGGTTGGTATTAAGAGAAGGGGGATGACTTTGTTCGATTCCGTGACGAAAACATCGAACATCTGAATTGGCCGCAATGGCTCAGCAAATACCTGTTCAGAAGAGTTTGAATTCTCACGGACTTGAATCTACTAGTCATCATTTTTTTTCTCGTGCCTAGTTTTGATACTCTCTTGCTCGTATCCTAAATTATGCTTGTAACACTTGCAATTTATTGTTATTGTTTAGTATTTGGAAGAGAAATATCCACAGAAGGCGCTGCTGCCTGCTGATCTTCATTTAAAATCTCTGAATCTGCAAGTAAGATCAATACTGGCCAACAACAAATTGAGACGCTTAAAAAGAGCTGTCTGGATCTATGTTTTGAGTCTATACTCGAAACATAGTTCAAATGACAGTGGATTAGCTAGCTTGCATCAATGGAATGATTACTTTTAGTTTTGTAGCCTGTTAACACTAGATCGCTATTAACTCTAGTGAAAATTGAGCAATAAAATCATCTGTAATTTCTTATTCTAAAAAACTTAAAAGAAAATCTATAATACACTGCCAATTAGAATTCACTTATACTTTAGTCTGGTTATATGTGTATCATTATGTTGACAAGAAAATCATTTTGCAGGTGGCAAGTATTGTCAGCTCAAGCATACAGCCTCTTATTATGTTGGGATTGCTGGTAGATTTTATTTGCATGGGATTTCTTTGGGCTTGCTGTGTTACAGATATATCTGAAGTTATTAAATTGTTTCTAGAAAACTATCGAGGAAAAATTTGGTCCAGAAGAGCAACTACCATGGGCTCAGACTAATATAGAAAAGGGTTTCAATGGTAAGTTTGTGAAGTTTTTCGGTGTTCATTGCTGTAATTATGCTTAGAAAAACGCACTGTTTAAAGAAATATTGAGTGCACTAATTATTATGTGTGCATGCAATTGTTATGGTCCTCAATTTTGCATCTGTTGTGTATTACAGCTCTAGAGAAACTGCTGAAGAATTTTTCTGCCCGATATGCGCTGGGAGAAGAAGTATATATGGCACGTTTCAAAATATTCTGGATTCTTTTGCTATTTAATATTTCATTTTTGAAGTCTTATCGTCATGATCTTAAATCTTAATCTTGTTTTGTCACATGCAGGCTGATGTATTTTTGGCTCCCCAAGTTTCAGTTGCTTTTGGGAGGTTCAACATTGACTCGGTATTGTATTTTTTCCATTCTTATTTATGAATCTCACCTCGCAATTATGTGGCATTCTGCTTACAGAAGTATCGAATACATATTACATCAACCTCCTTTTAAAAAAAAAGAGTATTATTAATATCAAAAATGAAAATGTCACTCAAGTAATTTCACATGATTGAAATTATGAAATAACTTTATTTTTGTTCTTTTTAACAAATCCACTATCCCTTGGGTTTGATGGAGGATGAAAGTCCCACGTCTGCTAACTTAGGGAATGATCACGAGTTTATAATAAAAGAATACTCTCTCCATTGGTACGAGGCCTTTTGGGAAGCCCAAAGCAAAGCTATGAGAGCTTATGCTCAAAGTAGACAATATCATACCATTGTGGAGAGTTGTATCCGTCTAACATGGTATCAGAGTCATGCCCTAAACTTAGTTGTGTCAATAGATTGGTAAATCTTATCTGATATACCATTGTGGAGAGTTGTGCTCGTTTAACATGGTATCAGAGTCATGCCCTAAACTTAGTCGTGTCAATAGATTGGTAAATCCTATCTAACAGGGTTAAGTCTTCGATAAGCACAGATAAGATAATTCATCTCTTGTCAGAGATTGAACTCATCGTTTGTTGCATTACATACAGACTTCCCATTAGATTTTATTTTATATTTTAATTATAGTTGAAAACTCATCTCTAGATGTTATAGGGTTATAAGACAATTAGACAAAACAAGCATGGTCCCGGAAACTCTCTCACTCATAACAAATTTCGGGCGTGTTGATAATGCAGTCCAAGTTCCCTACTTTAGCAAGGATTTATGAATCTTACAAGATGTTACCAGAATTCCAAGCCTCCTCACCAGAAAGGCAGCCCGACGCCCTTCACTAGTTCTGTCATCTCCACATGGTACTATTAAACATTTCACGGTTACTTCAATTATTGATGCTAAACTCCAGTCTCTTACATATTTCATTTAATTCTCTTTTTATAGGTCACAAGAGCTCTATTTTAACATTTAGCTATTCGTATCAACAGCTGCCCGTCTAGCTCAGTTGGTAGAGCGCAAGGCTCTTAACCTTGTGGTCGTGGGTTCGAGCCCCACGGTGGGCGGAAGGTCTCCTTTTTATGTAATTCGGTTTTGCCCTTTTTAAATTTTCATGCTAAATACTCTCTCCATTTCTTTCTTTATTTTTAAATTTTCATGCTAAATACTCTCTCCATTTCTTTCTTTATCCACTTAATTTTACTTTTAGGAGACCACACGGTTTTTGCTATGAAATTTGGTTGATCTGGTTATCAAAAAAATTACCCGTCTAGTTCAATGGGGAGATGGGCGAAGGTAATTTTTTTTTATTCCATATTATATTATATTCGGCTTTTTATGGTCTCTCCATTGATTGTTTCCTCTGAGATTTATTTTTTATTGCTTCTCTTTCTTTCTACAAATGAAGTATGAGAATACTCAAATTTATATTTGTGATATGTTCTTTGCTTTACTTTCGTTTTACAAATGAAGGACTTTATTGGAATTTCCTATTTTTAAATATCCTATACAAAAATTATGGGAAATAATGGAGTGAAAAAAAGTTTTGTGCCTTTTGATTTGGCAATTGATATCTCTCATTAGATAGTATGTAGTTGAGTTTGACTGAAATAGTGCACGATTAGATAATAGTTTGTCTGGCTAGTTTAAAGAATTGATGTTAAGAAATAATAAATAAGTATGCTGACTTGGTTTGGCCTAGGATTCATGTCAAAACTGCCCGTCTAGCTCAATTGGTAGAGCACAAGGCTCTTAACCTTGTGGTTGTGGGTTCGAACCCCACGGTGGTTTTTTTTGGTCTTTTAAAATTTTCATGCTAAATACACCCTACAATTTAATATTAGTACTAATATTCGATTTGGTCTTTTAAAATTTTCATGCTAAATACACCCGCCAGTTTCTTTCTGTATCTACTTAATTTTCTTTTTTTCTTTTTAGGAGGCCACAAGGTTTTGCTATTATCAAAATAATTACCAGTAGACGGGTGAAGGTAATTTTTTTAATTCCATATCATATTATATTCCGCCCTCTATGGTCTACTGATTTCTTTTCTGAGATTTGTTTTTGACTACTTGAATTTGAATTTGAATTTGAATTTGAATTTGAATTTGTGATATGTTCTTTAAGCTAAATGTTTTAGTTTGCTTCACTTTCATTTTACAAATGAAGGATTTCACTGGATTTTCCTATTTCTGAATATCCTATACAAAAACTATAGAAAACAACATACAGAAATGTCGTAAAACTATAATTTACAAAGTTTTGTGCTTAGTTGAGTTTGGCTGAAATAGTGCACCTTAGAGCTGTGTAATACTAAATTATAATTATTAGCACCAACTGCCCGTCTAGCTCAGTTGGTAGAGCGCAAGGCTCTTAACCTTGTGGTCGTGGGTTCGAACCCCACGGTGGGCGTAGATTTTTTTTTTTGTCGGTTTTGGAATTTTTTATTTAAATAAAATATCAGTTCATTAGAAACAAAAGTAATTTTCCATGCCACAAAATTCTGAAGAGACAAACATCTATGTTAGGTTAGATTGAGTGTTCATTTCCCCTCCTTGGGTTAGGTTGAGGCTTAATTAGAGAATAGTTTGGAGAGAACGGATGGATTGTTTACAGCTAACCATTAAATGGTAGTTGAGTGAAATATTAATGTAGTTGTGTTCCACAAAAACATTACTTGATTAGATAAAAATAGATTTCTGGTAGGTTTGAAAAATATTTCTAAAAAAGAACTTTTTAAGAGTAAGATTGGGCTATTAGCTTTGCTTGGGTTGCTTGAGTTCACATCAATTTAAGTCTTCATGGATTGGAAAGGTTTACAAATTTAATTCAAGACTATCAGATTAAATTGCCTCTCATGGTTTCATATTGGAAAATTCAGACATGTAAAACCATATTTATTTGTCTTGAAAGGAAAAAGAAAAAAAAAAAAAAACAGTTTTTACAAACTGGCCTAAATCTTTGAGTAGGCTTTGAAGGAACAACTATATGGTTTAATACCGTCATCTGTGAAGTCCCTCCGAAGAATTTAATTAATCATTTTTCTTTTTAAACAGAATTTTGTTTTCAATTTTTTAAAAAATTCACATTAAAATATTTTAACAAAACTACCTTTTTTAAAAAAAATTATTCTGTATTTGCTTTTTTGAAAGGGAAAAAAAAACAAAGTTAACTACTAGAAAATAGAAAAGTAGAAGATGAGGGAAAAGAAAGCATAATGTTTTAACCAAATCCACATCTAATTCTCTACACAAAAAGAAGAGCTACAAACCCTAATATAGCTTTTACACAAAGAAAACAAAGTACTGTGGGTATGAAAAGTGCAAACTCCAGAACCTAAATTCACTTCCAAGTAGAAAAAAAGACATGAAATAAATGAAGACAAACCCAATTTTTTTGAAAAATCTCTCAAATCACATAGAGCATCATCATCAACCGTCCCTTACTACAAAAGTCAGTAAATATATAATAATTATCCGATTGCTAACATCTCTTTTAATCACTTACTATTATTTTCCCGATTTATGTGTATCAAAAGGTCGATATTGTCAAAGAGGTCAAAATCGAACCTGTGTAAGAATCGACATCGACCACTGCCATTGGAACTTGTCGACTTTCCAGTATTGGGGTAGCCAAAGTTACGTTTAATCTTAGGCAACAAATCAACTCAGTGAGGGTGCTGCCCATAGCTTTACTTTCTTGTCCACACTCGCAGTAGCCAAAACCAATACTCTTTTACCTCCTGTTCCAAAACAACATATATTTTTTTTTATTGTAGATTTATCAAACACTCTCACCCAATAGGGTAAATTAGAAAAGCATAAAAGCATTTAAAAAGTTATAATAGCCGGTCAATATTGTTCTCTTGGGATTTCCCGATTGATGCGTATCAAAAGGTTCTTAAAATGCATCTGTTAGGGAGAGGTTTCCACACCCTTATAAAAATGTTTCGTTCTTCTCTCCAACTGATGTGGGATCTCACAATCCACCCGCTTCGAGACCCAGCGTTCTCGCTGGCACTCGTTCCTCTCTTCAATCAATGTAGGATCTCACAGAAATCGTTTTATTAAGATTTCGAATTCAATAATTAATATCTTTTGCTTTTGTACAACATTTAAGATATGGTCAATATACGAATTAAAGTATCGTTTGATTGTCATCGTGAAACCAAAAGAATACATTTCTTTATAACTTTGTCTTTTATTCTCAAATCGCTATATATATATATATAGTGTTTATATTTTTGTAATTCTCTCGTTTTCGTACTTGTCAGATTATGAGATAATTAAGAAGAAATGGGAAGAAGTTTTACCTGATGGGATAGGCTTGGGTGCCCACGATATCCATGTAATGTCACCTGCATTAGGAATTGAAGCTTAGTATAGTATCCGGTCATCTGAAGGTTTCAAGTTTCAAAGAAATGAACTCCATTATGGAAAATATAACTAATTTTTAACTTATATTTGAGAATGCACTAAAGCCTGTGTACGGTACTTGAAAGGATATACAATATCTATTAACACAATGTTCTTAACTAGAAAGAAAAAATATAGTAACTAGCAAAAACGAACAACTCGTCCGGGTATATGTAAAACAACCTGACAGGCGACCGAAAATGGTAGGACTACCTATAACACAAGGCCTCGGATACTGTCACTTGATCAAGAAATCAGGTCATACTAACTAAAGTCTTCCGATCATAAATCCTGGATCTTTAGGTTGGTTCTTAAACTAAACTGATTCTAACTACTTGTAGCAGTACTAGTCAGAGGGTTAAACCATTTTTTAACGTGTCGGTGAACACCGTACAAATTTTGAAATTTATTTTTTGTTAGTCGTACTGGAAAATGTTCCCAAACAAGCATTTTTTTGTAGATAGATGGTGCAAAGTAAAAAATTAGTTATACATACCATCATGAGCTTTCTCAGCTGTGTCCAAAATCTTTCCAGTTTCAACACATAACCACTGCAGTGTGGAACCATGCGTTACTGCTAGTATCTTCCCATCGGGAGATATATTGAGACGATCATAATACAAGGTTGCCCCATTTGAATCATGTAATGGAATTGGGAACACCTTGAGAGTTTTTGGGTCCTCATCGAGATGGTACCGCACTTGAAAAACGAAAACAATGAAGTTATAGATAAAAGTAACATGTCAGTTGCTTAAAGTCGTCTAGTTATCCGGGTTAACATGAAACCGAAAAACATCACCAATCAATCAATTCAAGTTTTAATTCAAGCAAGAAGTAGAGCATCGTAGTTATAACAAAAACATGACTTATCATATGGCAAATTTTCAACTACAAATATAAGATACAGATCATAGGTCAGTCGGTAAGACCTGTCCATGATGATGATATATGTGTTTATGTGCAACGTTAGCAGATATTGTCCTTTTTGGGTTTTCCCTATTGGGCTTCCCCTCACGGTTTTAAAAACGTGTTTGTTAGAGAGAGGTTTCCACACCCTTATAAAGAATGCATCGTTCTACTCCCAACCGACGTGGGATCTCACATTATGCATATGCATATCAATTGCAACATTAACTGACCTCACTTTTTGTATTTGTTTCAAGGGAAAAAGACAATAATTATCTCAACAATGTCATCTACTCACCATAAACTTTCAACTACTTCATCAATTGCACCACAAACTTAAGTTAGCATTGAAAATTTAACCATAAAATTAAGAAGTGTTGCAAATTTTCTCCTTCTAACAAGTTCTCGTTCAAAAATTTTCTAACGCTCGTTTAATGAATTATATAAAGTATATGTATGACATAAAATTGATAAGATTTCAACAATGAAAAATATTGATATGAATCTACGTACCATTAATATTCCAAATTCTCATTGAACCATCCTTTGATGCAGTGATGATTTGCTCTGAGTTTGGAGTAAAACATAACCAAGTCACCGCACTCTTGACATCAGAAAGAAAATGTTAAGTGAGAATGAAGTTAAAATCATCAAGAAGATATATAAGTTTTCTATAAGATCAAACTAACTAAATCACATTATGAACTTCCAAAATATCTAAACAACAACCTTGTGTCCTTTCAGCTGCATAACCCTCAGAACCTCCTTAACTGAGCCATCTTTCGAGTAAACAACCTCCCATACCTGCCAAAAACAATATATTGATGAAAAAAACGTGAAAGTGTGGCCTTATTGATTGAATATATACGTAAAATCAAGTATTCATAAAGAAATACTAATATTGTGATGGTAGTTACTTCTTTTCCCAGTAAAATTGAAATGGCTTCAATAAATTAAAATATGATATAATGAGCTAGAATGACTATAACGCCAACTATAATTCATATTCACTTAGGACGTAAGAACATATGATATCAAGCTCAAGGTGAGATCCCACATCAATTGGAGAGGAGAACAAAACATTCTTTATAAAGGTGTGGAAACTTCTCCCTAGCATACGCGTTTTAGAAACCTCGAGGGGAAGCCAGAAAGGAAAAGCCCAAACAGGACAATATCTGTTAGCAGTGGGCTTGGGCCGTTACAAATGGTCTTTTAGAGTAAAACACCAGGCAATGTGCCAGCGAGGAGACTGAGCCCCGAAGGGAGCGAACACAACACAGTGTGCCAGCAAGGATGTTGGGTCCTCAAAGGGGGTAGATTGGGGGGGTCCCACATTGATTAGAGAAGGGAACGAGTGCCAGCAAGTACGTTGGGGCCCGAAGGGGGGTGGATTGGGGGGTCCCACATTGATTAGAGAAGGGAACGAGTGCTAGCAAGGACGTTGGGCCCTAAAGGGGGTGGATTTTGAGACACCACATCAGTTGGGAAGGAGAACAAAACATTCTTTACAAGGGCGTGAAAACTTTTCCCTAGCAGGCACGTTTTAAAAACCTTGAGGGGAAGCCCGAAAGGGAAAGTTCAAAGAGGATAATATCTGCTAGTGGTGGGCTAGGACCGTTACATAAAAGATGTCGCGCCACATAGAATTGTATCTCAAACTTGTGCTTTGATAATTTTTCCTTCAAAGGTACAACTCAATTTTCCACACGTGGGACAATAAATGAGATATACAAATGCCAGAATTAATCACCTTCACATCTGCAGTAAAAGCAGCTGCCGCAATAAAACGCCCATTTGGTGACAAAGTAGCCATGGTGTTTTTCAATTGATTTGTGTCAACATCACCCAGCAGCTTTCCCGTTTTTGCATGCCAGAGTCTAATATCAGTCCCTAGAAAGCATTTTCTTACATTAGTACTTCTGCATAAGACATAACTATGATGGAGAATGCAGAAAATCATTGAGAAGATTCGATCACACATTTTAACATTTTCAATTATTTTATCATGATTTAGCACATTGGCAGAATAATATTTTTAGAATTCTATTAGTACTCATGGATGCTATAGAAAGTTTGAAAAACAGCCCTCATGTTCCTCCAGAATTCTATGTATGACAAAAAACACATTCAACACTAATAATTTGTGGATCAATTTAACCACAACAATGATATAGATTTTTAAATCTCAAAAAACAGAAAGTGAAACAGACCATAAGGCGGAATAAAAGAAAGTAAAACATTATTCACACGCCTTCCGCTTGATTGTTGCATGGACAATGTTCACGTACCTTCTGAACAAGAAGCTACAATTGTACTCCCATCCGCACTGCCATAACTAGCAGTTGCACCTACTAAGGTCAGAACAGATTTTTTATCGTGCACCTTGTGATTTTCCCACTTGATTTCGGGAAGAGGGAGCTTAGTTTGCTGTTTGGTTTCATCTGAAGCTTTAGCTTTTTCTTCTCCATACATGTACAGAGAAGAACCAGAAAGACCTTGAGAAGATATAATGACTGAGGATGCATCATCACCAAATGCGACTGCAGTTGGATGACCTCCAGCAGGCACATTAATTCTCAAGAACCTGCAGAAATGTTAATGTTGTATAAATAATGAATTAAAATTCGAAGTATTCTTTATTAGTACTCGGAAAATATACTCATACAATACTGATTTGAAAAATGGGTTTACATACTTGAAACTTTTACTTGATGCATCATCCAGCTTAAATACCCTGATCATTCCATCACCACAGGCTGTTATAACAATATATCAGACAGGATCATGAATAAAAAAGGAGGAAAAAATCTTTAATAAATTATTCAGAAATGCATTGAAGTGAAACATTGATCAAACAATGTGTATTAATTATGATAATCCAGTTAGATAAATATTTTCATCTTAATGAATAGAAACTAAATTATACATTCTACTTCCAGAAACCAAAAACAAAGCCCCGATTGCTATAAATTTGGATGCCACAATTAAGAAATGAATTCCAACACCAATTATTGCCAAGTTCAGCAATAACAACAGGAAACAGAATAGCGTATCAGCTAAACTTTGTCTAAGAAAACAAAACCAAGGCACCAAAATTGACGACAGAAGTTGTTGGGCCTGCAAAATAACAAGAAACACATCTGCAGCTTTCAAAGCTGAAAACATACTGGAAAAATAAGCCTCCGAATTGCATTAGGATGTAATACCATTGGAAAATATGTTAATAACAAGTGAGGATGAAAATTTGAAATGAGCATCAAATCAGTATGAAGACACGATGCATGCGCTTAATATTAAAAAAACATTCCATGACACGTGCTTGATAGCAAATGAAACACATTGAATCCAGTTAATGAACTAGAAAAGTATACATACGCAAACTACATATGTTTAGTCTAATAAAGGCTTGCTAGGAAAATGATTTTACTGAGGGAATTTAAGTTGGAAATTCTTGAGCCATGAACATAAATAAAATGGAGGCGGGGGACAAGATTCACATTCTAACAGCCTTAGTTAAATAGTTTTCCCTTTCCATCACATGGCATATTAACAATGGCAGCAAGAGGTAATATCATATAGAAAAACCGTTTGAGATAGCAGGATGAACCACGTTACCAGTCGCTAAACTACTTCCATCTGAGGAAAAGCATAATCCAGTTACAGAATCTCCATGGCCTTTTAATGTATTCAAATCCAACGGATGATGCTTCTTGTTTTGATCCTACATTCGACAAGCAAAAGAGGAAAAGCTGAGCGTAAGAGAAATACCAAAGCTGCTTCATAAGAAGCTAGAAATTAGTACTTTACTGCAACATTTCAATCCGAATACACCTTTATTTCTCTGCAGATGACATTAGGATTAAAAAATAAAAAAACAAAAAACATGCTGACCGTCATACAGCTTCTGAATCTAAACAGATCAAATGCAAGAAGGAAATAAACAACGTCATTGAACTCAATATAGCCTTAAGCTCGAGGTAGTTCATAAACAGCTATCAATGAATGTTTTACTGAAATGTTAGCAGATTCTCGTTATCAACCAGTAACAAGAAAGAGGAAGAACATTTTCGCCGCAGTTACCATGAAAAACCAGCAGAAAATCGTGATATGAATCTAGTACATTTCGTTAAACAAATAAGTTATGACTCAAAAAGAATTAGATGGCGATCATTTGAAATAATTCGCACGTCTCCAGCACAATTAGATCAAATCGGCGATATCAACGATGATCCATGAAGAATTCAAAATCCATTCCGCCGTACTAGCAGCATCAAAACTTATCACAAGATGAAGCAGCTAGACCTAGATAATCTAAAACATCAATTACGCACTGAACGATACAGTACAAAATTACAAGAATTCCGTTCTCATTTCATGCAATTTATCATGAACCTAATCGGACCTTATCGGAGGAGTGAGAGTGAGAGTGAGATTTGTAGTGAGACTTCTTAGTCTGAAGCGGCTTTTGGTGCTTCTTCGGATCCGATGGAAGCTCTGGATGGGAAATGGTTTGGACTTCGGATCTTCGTTTGCTAAAGTAATTTCTGAAGAAGATAACGGCAATTAGGGCGCCGATAATCACTGAAATAACCGGAATCAGCAGAGCAGAATCCATCGGTAAACACGCAGAGATGTGGCAACGGAGACGAAGACGAAGAAATTGGTGATGGACTTGAGAAAGGATGGTTGGAGTAAGAGGGGACGTATATATAGAGGAAGGTCAAATGAAGATTATCTGGGAAACAAATGATCGAATAAATCGAAAATATATTTTTTAATTATATTACGAGTTTTTTATTATTATTTTTTTTTTTTAAATTACGGTCTGAATTTTAAAAAATAGAATTAAAAATAAAAATTGACGAGTTTTCAATACTTAATTCTATCCTATTTATCCTTAAAATTAATAATATTCGATATTAATAAGTAGTGTATTTTTCTTTAAGATATTTGAATTTTTAATTACTTTTAATTATATATATATATATATATTTTTTATTTATAATTAAATTGCTTTTATTTGAAACAAATATCAAATATTCTAATAAAATAGTATTAAGCACAAGCAAATTAGTTTTTTTTTTTAAATAAATTTTAGAGGTGATCGTATAATTATTTTCTGTAATAAAAAATCCGACAAAACAATGTTGGGAGAAAGTAGGTTTATGTTTGAGCTCTGTAGAAAAGAAAGCAACGTGGACACGTCATTAAATGATAAATTGTAAAAATGAAAATTTTAGTTCGGTTTATTATCATACCTTCTATTTTGAATTAAAAAATATTTGTAAACGGCTAATATATTGTTGTGACTTGGAATTAAATGAAAGAATCTTATCAAGATCGATAAACAATATTTTGAAGTGATTTTGAATGTGACGACATGATTTAACCGTTAAAATTTATCTACAAGTCCTTAATCATTGATGAACAGTGCAAAAAAAATTCTAAAACACGTGAATCTAAGATCATAGATTGGGTGATAAAAAATCCGATAAATTAGGATTATGCGTACAAATACGGTTGAATCAGCTCGAAAATTGTATGACAACATTTTTAATCTTCTTTACAAGGGTAAAGAATGTTAACGCTACTTTTAAAATTTTATGAGTATTTTTTAAACATAGTACTAAAGTTGGGTATTTTTTATTTTTTTTCAAGTAGAAGGGTATTACTGGAATTTTATAAGTTTCTTGAGGATTTTTAAAATATCATTAAAATTTTAAGGATATTTTTTAATTTTTCATCCAAAACAAACGGTAAGAGTATTTTTATGTTTTTTTTTTAAATTTAAGGGTATTATTGAAGCGGGATAATTTAAGAGTATTTTTTAAAATAAATTACCAAGTATTTATATTAATTTAACTTTTTAATACATAAAAGAAAAAAATAATCATGAAAAATTTTATTTCATGCAAAACTCAAGTACTAAAATATCTTAGAGCCCTTTATACTAAAAATAGAATAATTATAATAATTTAATCAATCCTCCCCCATATTAAAAAACAAAGCATAATATAATATAATTAATTAAATTAATTAATCTGAAATATAATTTTTTAGATTTATAAAGAATAAAGAGAGACCTAGTTTACTTTAACTATTATCTAGGTACTTACGAATCTTAAAGACAATTAAAGGTTAAATTCCCCAAAATTGACCCAAATTAGGGAATAAAAATTTATTATTATTATTATTATTAAAAAAGCTCTCTTTTTTTTTTTTTTGGATTTGTTTATTTTTATAGAATAAAATGCTATTTTTATAGAAATTTCATATTAAATTCAATTGTTTTTTATTAGATAAAATTATGTATTACATAATATTAAATAAAACATGTTTTCAAAGTAATTAATAATAATTTATATTTAATTGGTAACTACATTTTTATAGTTTATAAAGTTTCAATGCTAATTCAATTTATAATTTTTATTTTATTAAATTCAAAATATTTTCAAAATTTATAGTTAATTGTGTAATTAAAAAAAAAAAAAAGAAGCAAAAGATTATTATTATTATTATTATTATCTCCACTTTTTCGCCGTGGAATCCAGAGCTCATCCCATCTTCTCCTCCGTCTAAATTCCGAGAAAGCGATACGCTAAATTCGATCCCTTCGCTCTTAAATTTGCAGTCTCCAAGAAAGCGAAACACTGAAAATCAACACGAAAATCGTCAGATTTTCAACCCATTTTCATTTTCATTTTCCTTTTTTTCTTTTTTCTTTCCCTAAAACTGGAGGAGCCCAGCTGATTTTTGGGTTCTCCCAGATCACGACGAGGGCTCCGTCGGAAATCGCCGTCGGAACCGCCGTGATTTGGCTTCGTAAACTTTCCGGCGACCTATTTGGGATCTTTTTCCCGAGTTATGCATAGATCTGAACCCGCCATGGCTTGGAACGTCTTTAAGTTCTGTACGGCCTTTCGAGGTCTCGGTTCGATCATGATCCTTTTGGTTCTTGGAGTTGTCGGTGTCACTTATTACGCCGTCGTTTTGACGAACTACGGCCCCGCTCTCTACGACGGCGGCCTCGATTCTCTCATTGCTCTCGCCGTTTTGATCTCCTTCCATTGTTTGGTAAGCTTCGCCTCAATTCGATTTAATTTTCATTTGTATTTCTCTGTTTGGAATTTGTAATTGCCTGATTGTTGTTCTTGTGCTGCTTTATAAATAACATAGCGCCTTGTTTGGCTTGTTCTCTGTCGTTTTTTCCCCCATTTTTACAATCTCTGTCGGACTAAATTTTACCGTCAATTTGTCTTTATTTATCTCGAATTCTCTCAGTTAAACATTTCTTAATCTGGAGTGTTCATTTGTGTGGTAAAGATCAAATTCATCATTCTCTTATCTAAAATTGCTTGTTCCTGTGGAAATTGGAATAATCTTTGATAATATTTCATTGTTCTGTTAAGTTTTGTGGATTGAAATTTAGACATTGAATTAGTGAATGAACGGATTAGATTTGAAGGAGTTGTTTGATTTTTAGAATTTGATTGAGGAGATATGAAGGGATTTGATGTTATGCAGTTGGTGATGCTGTTATGGAGTTACTTCTCTGTTGTTTTGACTGATCCGGGTTATGTACCGACCAATTGGAGGCCTGCTTTTGATGAAGAACGAGCCGAAGGCGACCCGTTAAATACAATGGAGTTTAGTATTTTGCATCCCGAGCTATCGAATCAACGAATACGATATTGTCGAAAATGCAATCACTTGAAACCACCCCGCTGCCATCACTGTTCTGTTTGTGAGTAGTGCACTTGTTTGTTACTTCATATTTGTATGTTAAGTTATCGAATAGTCTTACGCTGTCGACTATTTCGATGCGAGATTTACATTGTTCTTTGTTTAGGTGGGCGTTGCGTATTGAAGATGGATCATCACTGCGTGTGGGTCGTTAATTGTGTAGGAGCTTTGAATTACAAATACTTCCTTCTGTTTCTGGTATGTTTATTGCACTCGGAATTCGAAAAGATTTTTACGTTTTTCGGCATTGAAATATTCTTTCTGATGGCTGGGCAATGTTATTTCATTATCTAAGCACTTTATTAGTGAAATACGAGACTACTGTAACAGCCCAAGCCTACCGCTAGCAGATGTTGTCTTCTTTGGGCTTTTCCTTCCGGGCTTCTCCTTAAGGTTTTTAAAATTGTGAGGTTGACAGTGATACGTAACGGGCCAAAATGGACAATATCTGCTAGTGTGGGTTCGTATTTGTTACAAATGGTATCAGAGCCAAATACCGGGCAGTGTGCTAGCGAGGACGTTTGACCTTGAAAGGGGGGTGGATTGTGAGATCCCACGTTGACTGGAGAGAGGAATGAGTGCTAGCGAGGATGTTGGTCCTGAAGGGGAGGATTATGAGATCCCACATTGATTGGAGAGGGGAACGAGTGCCAACAAGGATGCTGGGCTCTGAAGGGGTGGATTGTAAGATCCCACATCGGTTGGAGAGGAGAACGAAACATTCTTTATAAAGGTGTGGAAACCTCTCCCTAGCAGCCGTGTTTTAAAAACCTTGAGGGGAAGCTTGAAAGGTTCTATAAAGAGGACAATATCTCTTAGTGTCGATAATACGTTGAGCTGTTACAAATACGATGCTAGAAATGGCTATTGACTCAAGTAAAACGTGTCGATAATACGAAATACTAGAAATGGTGAAGTCTGATCCAACAACGGTCTTTCTTCTATTACAATGAGATGTTCTTTAAGTTCAGATTATGATTTTTCAGTTTCGACTGATCTCGACGTTTCTTGATATCTAGAAAGAAGAAATTTAGTATTATCATTCCTTAATCTTTCTTCGATTCTCTTGCAGCTGTATACTTTTTTAGAGACGAGTCTCGTGACTTTGTCGTTGCTACCACACTTCATCACATTTTTCAGTGAAGGAGAGATACCCGGAACCCCTAGTACCCTTGCCACGACCTTTATCGCCTTTGGTAAGCTTAACAAGCATTCTCTAAACCCGTCAACTATTAGCTTTTTACGAGCTCGTGACTATCGCTTATTTGTTCAGTCTTGAATCTGGCATTCGCGTTGAGTGTTATGGGGTTCTTGATCATGCACATATCTTTGGTGGCTGCAAATACTACAACAATTGAGGTATTGTCTTTTGTACACTTAATTTGGGACATAGAAATATCCGAAAACCGAAATTTCGTCATCGGCTTCTCGTATGTTGAAACCAGGATGATTTGGATACTTCTAAATGCTAATGAAAACGTTTAAATCCAGGCTTATGAGAAAAAAACGACTCCTAAATGGCGATACGACCTTGGTCGGAGGAGAAACTTTGAACAGGTTCGTTAAACATTTTGAGTCATTTCAAAAGGTTAATATTGTGAAAACTTCGAACCGTACATCTCTAGCGATCTGATGTTCTGAAACTGCGTATATAGGTGTTCGGTATGGACAAACGCTACTGGTTGATCCCAGCTTATTCAGAAGAAGATTTACGACGAATGCCAGCACTCCAAGGTCTCGAATACCCGTCGAAGCCCGAGTTAGAATCACAAGAATTCTAGGAAGCCCTCAAGCAAACCCACGTAACTTAGTCGTCGTGCAAGGGAAATATGGAGTTCCCAGCCAAACCGAACACGATCCTCAACCCAATTCTAGCACAACAACATTCGTTCTCACACACGATAGAAAGGGAGAGGGGGAGAGGCATCGGACAATGAAGAACATCGACAGGCAGAACGTGAACAGGTTTTAAGGTAGTCGGGTTAGCTTGAGCTCAATACTTGTTCTAAAATAACATATTTTCGGGACGGTCGGTCGGAGAACCTCGAGAATTGGCGAAAATGGCAATGTTTCCAAATGTGCAAGAGGCTTTTCCCTGTAATCCTTTGTTTCTATAGTTGTTGATACCACGGGTGACCGGACAATCTCTGAGCCAGCATTCCGTTCTGGTCCGATTTTCGACTTAGGAAAATTAAAAAAAAAAAACATTTTTAAATCTAATAGAAAAAAGAAAATTTTCTAATTTATTTATTCATATTTAAAATAAAATAAAAATAATCTGAAGAAAAGAAAAAGTTGTACTTTAACCTGAAGGGCCTCGAAAGTAGTAAATTGCGCATATGCCCAAATTGTAGGGAAGAAAATTTTTCATATATGCCCTCAGAAGTATCAATTATATCAAATTTGGCCCACCTGATGTTTATCCCTATAAAGGAGGTGCCGAAAAGGAATTTGGGAAAGAAATGAGACCCTGCAAGTGTCAAATCTGGTCCTCCATGCTCACCAGTAGCTACCTACTGGCTACTATTTCGCCTGTTAATTTCAAGCCATTAATGCGTTTATTGGGTTTAGAACACGTGTTAATTATTGTTGAGGGGTATGTAACAGGCTAAAACTAACAATATCTTTAGTAGTAGACTTGAGTTAAAAATGGTATTAGAGAGCGTGGTGTGCCAGCAAGGACTATGACACTACAAATATCTATTAGTAATGGACTTGAGTTATAAATGGTATCAGAGCGAAGTCACTAGGTGGTGCCAGCAAGGACACTGGCCCTACAACATCTATCCGCAGTGGACTTGAGTTATAAATGATATCAGAGCAAAATCACTAGGCGATGTGTTAGCAAGAACACTATCCCTCAAGAGAGTGAATAGTGGGATCCCACATCACCAAGCGGTGTGCCAGCAAGGACATTGGAAATGTCTCCCAAGAAAGTGGATAGTGGAATCCCACATAACTGTAGTTGATTCTGCGTCACCAGGCGGTGTGTAGCGAGGACACTGATCCCAAAAAAGTAGATAGTGAGATCTGACAGTGATCACTTTAGATTCTAATAGTTTCTATTTCAAAATCGTATATACATGTCATTTACATTCATGAACATTATTTATTTAATAAAAGAAAAAGAAATAGAAAAGAAAGAGTAAAAAACTATCCCTCTCCTTCACGTCTCTACCACGCTGCCTTGCCCATCAAGACTTCATTCACGAAACACGTGTTCCTCTCCAGAACGTAGGTCGACACGTTTGATCCAACGGCCACCCTTCGCCGCCGAGTTCGAACCGACACCACCACCGCCACCGCCACCGCCACTGGGGCTTCCAATATGAGCAATTTCCAATCCTTTACCGACCGGCAAAAAAACCGACTTAACGACACGTGTCCCTCTCCGAAGCACTCCTTGCCATCTAAACCCCAAGACGTTTCCGTTTCGTTCCCATGCATTTTTACATACCAAAACTGCCCCTCTCTCACTCGGCTTCGCTTCCCTCAAAACCCTAACGAAATCCTTCCCCTTACAATCCGCCACTAGAAAATCCACCGCCGCTATCATCTCTGCCAACGCCTCCACATCTCCGACCACCACTTCCGGCGGCGATTCAACTCCAGCCTCCCGAATCGCCTTCACGTACTTCGATCTCGCCCGCTCGTCTGCAACGATGCAGAGATGACGCCCGCCGGTATGACCTGCAGCGATTGCAAGTCCGACGCTCGTGGCTACCGGACCGCCGTCCGACCAAGTCTCGACGATCAGCTTCGCGTTCCAACCGGCGGCCATGGCGGATAGAAGCTCCGGGACGCCGAATTCGCCGAAAATCTCGCACTGCAACAAATTGAAAAAAAAAAAAAAAAAAAAAGTAATTAGATCTGATTTAAATCTTTTATTTCATAGAAATTGAACGAAAAATCGAAATAAACTTACGGATTTGACTGTGTCCATATACGCTTTGGAAGCTCTCTCCGGTGACCAAACGAGCTTCATAATTTCTCAACTTTTTTTTTTTTTTTTCCGTTCGGTTCAGAGAAAAATGGCGTTTGGGGATTTTTTATGGACTTATAAATATATATATATATATATATATATATATATATATATATTTATATACAGAAAGAGAGAATTATGGTAGTGGGAGTTGACATTTGCAATACAGGCGATGAACCTAAAATTATTGTATTTATTTATTTGGAATTTTCTTGCTAAGGGTTTATTGACATATTTTGACTTTTACGGTATAAAAATATAGCGAGTTTGGAATTTTTTTTTAATTAATTTAAATTTTATTTTTCAAAAAGTTATTGTCAGGTGAACGTAATTCTTCCACAAACCAACCTAAATTTATTTTTTAAAAATTATAACTAAAAATTATATATATATATATATATATAATTTTTTAAAATTAGTTAACTTCAATTTATGTTCAATTAGTTAAAATTATAGACAAAAAATTAATAAAAATTCAAATTCCAATTCAAAAAAGGAAACCAAATCGATGTAATTATTTTTTTTTTACTTTCTTGTTGGACATAACAAATAAATAAATATATATATATATATAATTTTCATCCCGATAGTTATATGCTATAAGCGGTTGTTGTTGTCTTTTTGCTTACATCATATATAACACCAATTTCAATCTCTCAAATCTTGCTTTCAAAACTCTCTCTCAAAATCTCTCTGCTCCAGGTCTCTAAAACTTTTTTATTGAATCGGGACCAGAGTCGAACATACGTCGCTTGATCGTAGGCAACGCAAGAACAAATTGACTTAACTCACTTGTTGCTGGTAAGCTAGTGTCGTACAATCACAAGTTTGCCACCATAACAAGTGGGCATAACAAATTATTAATAAATAAAATATTCATTAAATAAATAAGAGTATTAGACTTGGTCTTAGTTTCCTAAATTAACTTTACTTTTTTTGGAATATAAATCCAATAGAATAAATTAATATTACAAAAAAAATTGAAAACTTGTTTTTGTTTCTGAATAAAACTCGAAAAAGAATTAAAAAAAATAATAATTAAAAAATTAAAAATAAAACAAAGGACAAGTCAAACATGTCTCTCGTACAAAACAACTCAAAACCGTTCTCCTAACTGCCCAAAAGTCTTCCAAAAAAAAAAAAAAAAAAAAAAAAAAAAAAAAAAAAAAAAAAAAAAAAAAAAAAAAAAAAAAAAAAAAAAAAAAAAAAAAAAAAAACCACAATGTTCCAAAATTATTAACAAAACAAATAACAAATCCAACAACTTCATGTTTTTTTTTAAGGTAATAGATAAGCTCTAATTTTATAATACATTAGTTAATTTCATGTGCCCTAATTTTTATTTTTGAATAATACTTTTGTAATAATTAACTAATTTTTAGTTTGATTAAAATTATTACTAACTATTTTTTTTTTCTCCGATCGTTTACTGATCAAGCCAATATTCGTAACGTTGAGCTACTAGAATCATCAAATCGACCTCTATAATTAGAACAAGTCAACTTTAGTTCTATTTTTTTCGCTCGAGAATAAATTTAAAAACCCATTATCTTAGCTGTTCGTAAATTTTTTATTTTCATATACGTAAATCGAGAAAGGACCCTAATCTATAAACTAAGAGCCACACCCCCACCACGTATTTTTCTAATACGAACTATAATCTAAAGATGTTAAAATAACGTATGATCATTTGTTTTATTTGTAACGCATTGGACTTTGAGTTATAATTTATAAGCAAGTTGGTTGGAATTTAGGGTATTGTATTCCGTACCCATTTTGAAAAATGATATTTAATGAGTCAAATGTTGCTATCTATGAGTCATTTGTTGAGTTATGTAATTTTATAAGGCCTTTTGCAACTTATAAGCTGTTGTCTTAGTTATCTCTTTAGACTTTTTCATATATAATATGAAATTGACAAATATGTGTGTTTAATTTGGATAATATCTAAATACGGGTTTGTTGACCTAAACGGGTGCGTAAACTTTTGGATTAATACTGTGCGATTAGGGACACTTCAATATAACGAGATTCTTTGTAGAGGTGTTCATATGAGCTGAGAACTCAACCAATCTGGATTATCCGACTCAAAAGTGTAATACTAGTTTATTGATCTAAATGAGTGCTGAAATGTTTTGATTAATACTACATGATTAGGGTTAAATGTTCGATATAACGAGCTTCTTTGTAGAGGTGTTTATATGGCTCGAGAACTCGACTAATCTAGATTATTCGACCAATTTTATATTCAAAAGTGTAATACTGGTTCGTTGATCTAAATGTGTGCACGAACTTTTGGATTAATATTATGGGATTAGAGTAATCTTCGATATAACGAGTTTCTTCGTAGGGGTGTTGTGTTCATATGATCTGAAAACTCGACAAACCTGGACTACCCAATCTGTGAGTTGGGTCGAGTTTCGATTTGTAGGTTGACTCGACCAATCTAAAAATAGAGTTACAACTCAACCCTACCCTGCTCCTACTTTTAAGATTATTACGAAGATTAAGAATATTTGACGTTTGTAATCGATGTGTTGTGACTTAGGAATGTTTGATATTTGAATTTTATGAGATTTTAGTTATTAATGTAACATGTGTTGGATCGGTATGGCAACCCTAGAGGGGGGGTGAATAGGGTTTTAACGATAAAAGTGTTTAAACTTGATTAATTTTTTTTAATGAGAAAACTTTTTACAAATAAGTAGAAGATGATAATTACTAAAACAAAATAATTCAAGTCAAAACAATAATCAAGTAGAACATGCAATAAATCATAATAATAATCTTGAAATTAAATAGGAAAGAGTTAGAGAAAATGACACCGTAGTTTTATAGTGGTTCGGTCAAACTCGACCTACTCCACTCCCCAAGCGCCTCTTGGGAATTTGAATAAAGAACTTTTCCGACTCTTTCCACGGATCAGAGCCAAACCGGTACACCGCTCTTTTTACGAGTTCAAGAGCAAACTCAATCCTTTCCACGGCGTAGGATCAAACCGAAACAAGTATTTGAGTTTGATAATATCACACCACAACTCTCTCAAAGAGTAGATTTACAATTTGGGATACTGACAACTATTTCCTCACAATATAATAATAATCCCTCTCAAGAATAAGATGAAAAGAAATAAACTTGTAAGCTTGGAGAGAGCAACAA